TTTTGGTGTAAATACATTAAAGAGGTGTGTGGAACGGTGGTAAACCATTCCATTTTCTCTGATTCGACTCAATTTTGAATTTCGTAAACAGGCCAAACCACTTACATATAAGTGAGTAGAATACGGTCAGCGTATCATATTAAATAAACAAAATAAGACAAATAGAAGGGAAAGGACCGAATAATTCCTCTTGGGTCTTATTTTTCTGGCGACCATACACTCCTGTTACTTCAGACGTGGTGTTTTATTCAACTAACCTGCAACCACCTTATTCACTTTTACTGACTATTAACAAGTTGTCAGAACTGACTTGATACATGAATACTAAAATATAATATCTACAATTGCGCTGTGTTTAATGGTCAACAGTTGATTTCCACGTTCCTGTAGTTCAGGTGGATCGGTTTCTATGAGGAATTAAAGATTCATCTTATTGATAGCTATCAGACATGCGTAAGGTTCCTACTCTCAGTGTACGTGGCTGGCAATCATAGGTTAGGTTTACGGTAAAGAAAAAGAAATGAGACCGATAAGGAATATGAATGGGTGATGTATGCTAATTTTATCTTACAAATTATATTGATAAAAACAGATTTGATTTTATTCTAGCATTTAGTATCCCATGTGAGATTTATGATTCAGAACAAGAAATCAGTTATTGGTCTCAAGAAGCTTCAATACCAAAATTCTAAACGAGAAATGAATCAGTTACACAACTGCCTTTCAAGTTATTCCCGGAAATAAGAGGTTGAAACACATTTTCACTATGAAGCATCAGAGTGTGTAGATTTTAGGAAGGCTGACGGAAGACATTTAAAAATTAAGTTCACTATACACCGACTAGGTACAGATATTCAGGATGCGTCTGAAGCAACCAGATACCTGGAAAGAACTGCTTGTATGCTGACACACAACAGACACCGGTCTTGTTCTACCTATTACAACCCACTATTTTCATCCTTTGTACACAATACTAAAATATGTTCACTAACTAATTACCGGTGACCAGTATATCATTTTATCATTCCTGAAAGCCAAATAAATTTTTTCTGGACATGATTCTTTTAAGAAAAGGTTTCCTATACAACTTGATTTTTAGCACTCCTTTGGTATCTGAAACTCATATTCGTCCTTTTTTCCACCCAAAACATTTCTTCAAACGGAAAAAAAAAGAATTTTATGCTACTTTAGATGTATCCAACAGTTTAGAAATAAAAATTTAAATATTTGTGACAGAACTATAAACTTATCCAAACGATATACACAAAATGTGCTAGGCAGTTTTCTTTTTTTTAATTCTTACTGTCATGACTAAGTAGGTATTAAGAGTAGTTTGATAACATTTGAAATAATTAATGATATATGAAGTTGACAGTATGCGATAAACTCTTTGTTGTTTTCCATAAAACTTTTCTTATAACCAAAATAATTTGTTACAATATGATTAGAAGTCAAAAGTCAAAACGTACTCAACAGTTGTTGCACCATTCTTTGTCATCAGTAGTCATAGCACCCACGGAGTGTTGTGATATTAACAGTAATACCTCCAGTTTTTAAGTCAACTGAGTGGATATCCTCTGTCAACAATCTTAATACCATCATTCAACAGATGAAATACTTGTCAGGTCACTTCGAAATTCCAATCGTTTTCTTGGTTTCACAACAATGAAAATTTTGGTGAAATATTTTACTTATATGTTACTGTTAAGAAAAGCAGTTGAATCATCTAAAGAAAAACATCATGAAAACAGAAACAAATTATGAAAAACACAAACAGTCTTAATGTTCGACAAGAATTAATTTCTCCACCAATGACTGAGATCTGATCTAGTGGAGATAATTTAACTATGAAGACAGTGGCAAACAGTTGTTGAACACTGATCATTTAATTTGTAAACTCACCAATAGCACCACTCAAAAAATGATGCAATATTCTTATTCATCAACTGACTAAAGCCTTTTGATACTCTGAGGTCATTCGGTAAATGTATTATCTCCTTTTTATTTAACTCAGGTGCACTAGACACTTAAGCGCAAGTAGATGAACAACATCTGATGTAAGTTAAAGAACAACAGGTGCAATCAGTTAAATAGAATAAAATTGCTAACATATGGGAAATTTTTTTTAAATTGTCAGTTTCAAACTGTTTATTTTTTGTATTTCTAATGAATACATATCACTGATTCACTGACGTAAAGAATTAACAGAAGTCATCAAATTAAAAATCATATGATCTTTTATCTTTTTTCTTTACAACCTTTTATCAAAAAGGTCTAATGCAAACCAGTTATATGACTGAAATGCACAGATTTTTTAAAAAGGTAATAAAACTTTATCCAGGAAACAAATTTGCTCGTGAACTAAATCTATAGAATATATTTTGTAGTTGCTACATCTTATAAGCAAACCTACTTTTCAGTTTCCTATATTGTTTAGCGTAAAGTAGCTCCACACTCCACTAACCCAAGTAATAAATCTTCGAAATAGAAATCGCACACACTGTTTTGATCTAATTAATATACTGAATGAGTCCTGTCAACTTAGATCAGTTAGAGTACCACTGAAAACCAGAGAGTACTGGGCAGCTGTTTCGTCCTAGTTCTGCAGTCGTCATTAGCACACACACACACACACAGCTGTCCAGTATTATTCAATTTCAAAGAATCTTTATCTGATTTTCGCGCATGAGCTATTTTGAAATTAATTAATCAATTAAATGCAAACCAGAACTTGGAAATGAATCTCATCAAACTTTTTGAATTGTCTATAGGCTGAATTACTGTTATAAGGCAATTAGGTTTCATTAAGTAATGTTAACTTGGTAAAATGTTGACATCATTATGGAATTTTCATTCTATTCAGTTGCAGAAAGATGTCTGAAAATCAACTGAGTCTTTCATATGACGCTGTCAAGAAAACAGCCTAGAAAATTTTACAGATTCTAAATTACTGATGTGCGTCGGTGGTATAGCGGTAGGGACGCTCGCCGACCATGCATATGGTCCTGGGTTCGACCCCCGGCCGGCGCACTCCTTTACCTCACTGAGCCAGAAATAATGCTGGTAAAGAGGGAAGGTTGGGCATGAGGCTAGCAACCCCATCCTGTAAAAAAATAATCACCACTGCTACAGAAACTTCAAGCCACTAGCTTGGAGCCCTATGTTCCACTGGGAACGTGAAGGAAAAATTATTTATTATTATTAGTAAATTACTGATAAATGTTTAGGTTTGTAAGGTGTGAAGAAAGCTAGTTCACTCTATGAGCTTGCAAGCGAAAATTCTGACCTCTGCCCACTAGTTTGTAACAGCTTAATTTTAGCATAAATGCTTATTCTAGACGTTATTAGGATTAGGAAGGTAAAAAGTTTTCGTAAGATTCTTGTTAAGATGAGTAAATCTGTCAGAGAAATGTTTATTTCCAATGGCATGATTTGGCTGGAAAACGTGTTTTGTGCATCTTCTTACTACCTACCTTAATGTACCATTGTGGTGATGTGATGCAGACATGTGTTCCAACTGAGTATCATTCTCAAATATTCCCACAGTTCCATGCATCATTAGCGACAGAATACTATATATACATATATATATATATATATATATATATATATATAAAAGTAGCGGTTCGATCAATGAAAAATATATCTTAGCTTCCGTGTCCTGTCTTGTTACACTATGTTAGTAAACAAGATAAGCTTGTTAATTATACAGAATATGAATATGAGTTTGTCAAGGAAGTGGTTTAGGACTGTCTGTGTGTTTTGTATTTAGGTAAATACATCAGTCAGCACCTCTCAAAAGGTTTCGGTTACTTTTCACCGACACTTTTTCCTTCCATTACTGGTCACTTCATGAGTCAACTTTAAAAAAGGAATAAAATTAATGGAGGTTGTATTGATCTGAGAGGCTGTTTAAGGTAAAAATTATTTGTTTAAGCATATACCATCAGTGAATTATTTGAAAAGCATTGTTAGTGGTTTACGAGTATGCCCATAAAAATAGTCAAAAACAAATGCTGAATATATATATAGAATGAATTATAAAAGACTTATATGTAGAATTTTGGTCACAGCAGGACAAAGTATAGCTGAGCAGGTTGTTGTACTTTAAGTGGCCTTATTTTACGTATGCAGTAATCATATGGATAGGATTTGGCTGCATAACTGTTATTATTTTAAAAGTCTGACGTCTTGTCTTGAACTTGTAACTTCTAATAGTCTTTTTAGGTCACACCGTGTTTGTTAAAATTTCATTTCACTTGGATTAGTGATCTTATGGAATTTAACGTCAAACTCCGAAACTTTCTATGAAATGCTTTAGTCTAATTTTAAGGTATTTCGCATTTACGAAAAAAAATTCTAACAATTTATTGTATTTCTTAGACTCATTAGTAATAAACTTTTTCTCTAAGGTTACCTATGTTCCACAAAAGTATTCCTTACTCTATTATGGCGGTTAGTGGAAATGTTTTTAGGAAGTAAATTTTGTAAGTGGTGCATGAACTAATTATTAAATTAGTTAACATCTGCACGCACTATGCACCATGTTGGAAGCTAAAAATTCTATCTTAGCAACTTTAAAGACAGCTACCAATATTTAGTGTACAGTTCCTATACCTCTTACAACTGAACATCTTAAATTTCTTACTTATTTTTACCCCCTGCCTGTTCATGTCTTATTTTCAGTTTGTTTTCATTCTGGATTCTGTAATCGATTTTCTCTTTTACGCTGATTTTCGCAATGCAACAAACATTGACAAATACATAATCATTCTTCTCCCTGTGATTTTTTTAGTTCATTATATTTACAGTAATATTTATTTATTCAGCTTTGAAAGAATCGAAATATAATAGTGCCTGGATTGCTGTTTTCTTACCACTGAATTATGCTTGTAGAATTATTTATAAATGTTTATTTTTTACTATTTACTATTATTACTACTACTACTACTAATTACACAATTAATTCACTGTTTCTTTTTCTTTCTTTATCTTTACAGGCCAATTATACCCAGTAATACAGAACATTCTAAATGGGTCTCAATTGCACCGCATAATTTAACAGATAAGCAAGCCAATATTACACTTGACACAAATCACCAAAGTGCATTTCAGTTGAGAGCTGTTAATAAGGTTGGAATGAGTGAACCAGCTTATTTAGTAATAAGACCACCATTTCAAAAAGTTCCAGATAAGTTAAATGCATTCTCAGTTGTTGTTTTTTTTGACACATAATTAGCTAATTTCCCATGGAAAGGCTTAAGTATTTATATTTTATTGTTTAAAAAGTGACATTTTACACAAATCTTTCCTTATACACTGCATATCTCAATAATTTATGGTTTTTCTAAAGGATAACTAGAGTTTTTTTTTAACAGTACATCTTCACTGTACGCAAGAATACAAGATACTTTTACAGATATAAACTGAATCATTACGATAGGTAGGAAATTTTGTTGTGCAGGGAAAAACAATTGCTTACTAAAGAATAATAAATAACAGACATAATGGCGCTTTTGCGTAAAGAAGAAAGCATGTTTTAGAGAGTTTAAACATGATAAAAGCGCAGACCGACTGTGATATTTACTTTTTTTTACAGATTTACAGAACACCTGTTATTTACTAATTTTTAAAACAGATAAACTTTCAGAATGAATATTTACGTGATTGCATATGATCTGAATGAAATCAAACTTCCTCCAGATGGTTGAGGAAACCTGTCGGTTGGACGAAGTGGTATTCAGCTAATTACGATGTTGAAAAGTAACCCTGGTTACAAGTAAAGTCTCTGAAAATACTATCTGTTAGTCAATATTGAAATGAGTCCTCTATTCAAAATACTAGTTCCGCATTCATTTAGCTTCGAAGACAAATCATCAAAAATGAAGTAAACTTTGTTTACCCAGCAGTGATAACATAGGGATTTTTATGATACTTTCAGGATGCTGAACATTGATTGATTCATTTTTGAAAATGGCTATTAGTTTCGGAAAATGATTTCAATTTCGATTTAAGATTATCCTTATTTTGAGTAGATTCACTAATTACATATTCACAATGGTATCTTTATATTAGCTTCATTGTCTATTGAAGATGGCTAGCATGAATAACAACCACGTCGTTTAACCAATGAATAAAAGTGTATTTAGGCTTTGAAATCAACTGAAATTCATTTTCTCACAACATAAATAATTGAAGTCTACACAAACAAGTACTCTGAAAGAGCAAAAATATACATTTAAATCGTCTCTTCTCACTCCTAGGCTATTTCCCAGAATTTTATTTTATTTCACTTGTTACTTACTTTGATATAAGTATAAAACTGTGTGTGAGTAACTTGATATGATAATGAGCAATAATTTTTGCTCGAAACGTGGTCATCAGTTAATATTACTGTCTAACACTGTGTAACTTATCAAAATAAAATCTTATGCATATTGGAGTTACTTACTTTGATCAGATAAAATCCCAGCGATTGGTTGAAACCCCACTTGTGGCTGTGTAGTAGAATACTTTTTCGATAAAACCTTATCCCTTCATCACATAAATGTCAATTAAGATCACCTAGTATATTTTCACAACTCTAGAGAGAACCTTTAGAAAAAAAACACCGCTTTGAACGAAATAACAAGAGACACCCAATTCATTTAAAATAAGAATAAAACTAACATTATATAGGGTTAAGTAAATCTGAAGGTATAATGAATAGCAATGGGTTGTTAACGGATGAAAGAGTCCAGCCGATCATTTATGGATGAGGAGGATCATTCAAAATTGTGTGCATCATTGTCAGTATTATATCGGCGGACGAAGACACTTGAAGTTTATTTTCATATCTTATAAAGACACTAAGTAATGCGCAAAAATTATTGTTATTATTATTGGCGCCTGTAGATAGAATTGCTATGTACCTCTATTCAGATTTGTTGGGATAAATGGGACGCAATCTTCGAAATCGCCAACTATGAACCACCCTAATACCTGAATGGAAGTAGAACTTTGAATATGATACCCACTGGTAGCGATTTTAACGCCTCACCCAGTATTTAACACCTTCAAATGAGTTAAAACTGAGCACTGTCATTCATCTTCCTGCACAGTGCTTTATGCTGTTATCACATCTGTTATGCTTTCAAGTCACGAAGTTTAAAGGCTTCTAGGGTTCTTACAAACTGGAAAAAACAATTCCAACAATGGCGTGAACACGGGCAGTAATTTTGCTCAAAATATTACCAATAACAAAACGTATTATTCTGTGTAAACTATTGAAATATAATCATACTTTATTGATCTAATCCACAATGCTCAAACTTTTTACTGATATTAATTCTTACAAACTGTAAACTCAGAAAGATGCATTGAATTCTGACCATGACTTTACAAATATATAGCACAGAAAGCACTGGATCACTCATTTTTAGAAATGACTGCTGCTAAAATCTAAAGTGAGTGATCATAGGGACTGAGAAACTGCCGACGTGTTTGTAGTAGACTTGTAACCAGTCCAGGATAGGAAGGTAGTGAATCAGAACATTATTATTAATAATATAGAACTAGAATATTATAAATCTTTAAATAATGCAAGATTTTCTCAAAGGATAATAAGTAAAACTTCGCAAATTGGGCATGAAATTTAGGTTTTTATATATGCCAAGATAAAGAACTTAAGTATTAGTGATCAGTATTTATTGAAGTCATTCTAATTTGTGAAGCAGCTTAATGATCCTTAAAATTACCTTCCCCTGAATTTCTTATATACTTGTGCAGTTTACAAATGTTTGGACGGATATGATGACACACAAGCGTGTGCAACTTCACCAAAAATTAAATCGGTTTTTAGGTAGAAATATTGATGGAGAAATGATACAACGCAACTGGCTTCCGCAAGTTTTTCTGAACAGTATTATGTAGTTCCCCACACTTTACTTGACATTTTTAACTTATTAGCTAAGTGATTTAACCAACTAAATAGACATAATAATACTGAAATATCACTTGTGTGATCAATACTACTTAAAGGAAGAACTCAAGTCAGTCTGTTGTATGCATATGATTATATTGTAGGGCAGTGACTAAACTGTGTTTACTAATGTCAAAGAGATCGGAAATTTTCAGATTTTTACGCTTATTTCATCTTTTGTTTTTTCCTTATAATCAGGGGTTATTCGTCACTGTTTCAGCCTTTAAATCAAGTAACCAGCTTGCTGACTTACAGTTTGCTTTCAGTTGCCCTACTACTTTTGCTTCTATTCCTAATTGTACTACTAATTTACAGACGTAAGTAATAACCCATTTTTAATCCACAAGGTGCATTCACATTTTGTCAGTAATAAAATCAATTTAGCAGAATATTTTAATCCACTTTGAAATCGATAGGTATCTTTGAGATCAACTTTGTAGTTAACTTATTGAGACAGAGTTAATTATTTGCAGTGTGACAGAGGAAATCATGTTTTACACTAAGACTTATAAATGGGATTATGCTATTAGATATAGAAACAATTGGCTTTGAGAGGAAACTCCCTTCAGAAAATCGCATCATTATTTATTCACTTGTCAGGAAACAATCCACTATATTGATCACCCTAAGGATATTGTGTATATATTCCAAAATTTGTTGAAATACAGAAACAAACTTGAATGCTGGAGAGTTGCTTCACTTAAAATATTCGTTAGATATCGAACAATTTTTCTCGACAGTTTTTTGTGTTTAACGATAAGCTTTTCAATGAACTTTTTTGATCTTTATTTACTAGATAAACATGTTACCCATTTTTGCTTAAGGCTGGATTATTAATTGATCATTTGTTGGCTTATCCATGTGTTATATTAACTCTCATGTACTTGCTGACTGGTACACTTCAAAATATTTCCTTCGCAATTTTTGGAGCTGAGTGCTGGATCATTTTCCATTCTTGCAAACAGAAACTCTAACTGACGTCAGCTCATGATGAAATCTTCCAAGCAATCACATACAAAATCCCTACAAAATCAATACTTGAAAATTAACCTGATGTTCACTAGCGGCTGGTCCTATTCAGGCAGTTAACCTGGGGTTCTAGTGGGAAGCCGTAAACAGTAGGGTACAGCAGGTCGAAGATGAGGCAGTAAATCATCGAAGAAGACATTTCGAAATAGTCGCGCTATGTAGTGAATTGGCAGAAGTTAGAATTCATGGGCTGACCATTGGATCGGGTCCCAATGGCTTAATGGTCTACGAGCTCTCCTTGTAACCAGAAGGTCTTGGGTTCGAACCCTGGCGGTGGGTGCGTACTGATGAAGAGTCCGAAACTAGGACGAAACAGCTGTCCAGTACTCTCAGGTTTTCCAATGGTTCTCTTACTGATGTCAGCTCATGATGAAATCCTCCAAGCAATCACATACAAAATCCCTACAAAATCAATACTTGAGAAACTCTTTATTTTTTATGATTCCAGTGATTATATATTATGTTGCTTGGTTGGTTACAAATAATTGTTTGTAATGTTTACAAACTCTTTTCGCTCTCTGATGATCAGAATGACATTAATTATAGTTACTTACTGTCTTTGGAGTCACTTTTCAAGATAATTTTTGTATTTTATTAAGTTATCAATCAATCCTCCAGTCATCCGAAAATATGAATTAGTATCAGATGGTTGAAGGCAGTCGGCAGGAAGCCTTGAAACTAGGTTTCGTGCTAGTTGGTACTCGTCAGCAAGGCGTATCTGCAACCTTGAAGGAACTCATGTCCCTTCTGAAATTCGAACGCGCGTCACCCAGTGCTGCAGTCAGAGACGTTACCGTTGAGCTATTCGGCCTCGCGATTGACCTCCTGTAGGACTGTAGTGGATGTATTTTGATTTGACACTAGTAACTAATGTGATGAGTCTAGTCCTCTGATTGATGGTGATCTAATACCATCAAATAAATGTGCACCGTGATGGCGAGCTAGCTAGAGTAGTGGTCACCTTAGAACCTAACTGATAGAATTCAGTCTACACCAATCAGAGGACTAGACGCATCACACTAGTTACTAGTGTCAAATCAAAATATGAATTAGTATCTGGATATAGTCATGGGCTGCACTGATATTCTACGAATGAATTAACCACCTACCGGTTTCCAAAACACTTACAGAATATGTTCACTTTGTCCTTTTCACTGTTTGCTGCTCTGTTATTACGAAAGTCTCATACTGAGCAGTGATCACCGTATTCTGTAATTCACTGTATAATCCCCAGGCTGTAAAACAAATATTCTGCCTTAAATAAGGCTACGTCAACCTGATTATCCTAACTCCGATAACCAATTCAATAACTTATCAAAAATAAACATCTCTTCGCTTATGAATCATAATATTACTACAGTTAGGCAATGATAGATGATGGTTGCAGTGGTCTTTTTTCCAGGAAAATGTAACAAAATCTCATTTAAACTGAATGCCCAAAGGATTAATCCATGAGGTTTAACCTTAAGAAGTTTGCAAACTCCAGCTTTTCAAATTAATTGCAATTAAAAAAAATGAAGAACTACTACTAAACTGATCACAGTTTAGTCATAAAAGAAAAGAGTAGGAGGAATTCTATAAATTTAATTCCAGGCTTATCGTCATTTCAAAATATTATTTTCAAAATAAATTTTTCTTCACAATATTAGGAAATGACTTGTGATATTGCACAGTTTGATACAGTTAAATCCATGCATAATAATGCATCGACAAATGTGAATTCAGGATAAAATTCATTCGACTCAAACATGTGTTCATTAAATCGAAACTGTTCAGTATATGTTAAATACGCTCTTCAAGATATAACACTTTAGAATATTGAGAAAGCAACGTTTTTGTTTTATCGAGAGTTAAACTGGTATGTGATGGTGGATGAATACTTTCCAAGACCCATATTATCTGGCATTAGATTTATGAACAAAGCAAAACAAAACCTTTTTTCCTTCCTATAAGATAAATTGACAGTTAATCAATACAACTAACTGATGAAAATCAGTTAGTTTATTTCAACTCATTTGTCATAGTATACTTTGCAGGCAGGCGGATTTCAGGTGTAAATAACAGTTCAGAATTTCATGAATCTTGACTCAAAAATCATGGCAACCTTATCAGTTATAATGTCTACTTGGTAAATAGCAAATGGACTAAATCCAATTTTTTGAAGAATGTGTATATTTCTCATAATATGAACATTCATTCCTTACTTTCTAAATAGGTCTCAACAGCATATCTCAGTTGTGTAATCTATTTTCTGCTATCACTACTAGCTGGCTGCACAATTACTCACAAGCTTTCATTTCCTTTTTATATGATCACCTCCTATTTACCTTCAGAAGCCCAACTATTTGCTTTCTGTTCATGTTCCACTGTGTGGTCTGGCCTATTTTGTCCGTATGAAGTTGTTCTTTGGGTAGTTGAATAGCTCGCTGCCTGACAGAGTCCCTCGTTGTTTGTTCCTTGCCTCACTTTTCGGTAGGAGATAGCTGTACATACTGACAGTCATACCAAAAGGTATACGTTTTCACTGGTAATACAACCTACAAGAGTTCCAATCGAAAGTTAACCAACAGCTATATATCAATGAGTTTGATTCTGTAAACAAGAAAGTTTGTGGTGGAGACTATCATTAAGCCTTCTAAATATATCAATATGCATTCATATGAGACTTTTTGCTTTGTTTTTAGGTCGGCACAAAGATGGGAAGTCTAACAAACACTCATTTTTCATTAGTTTCAATCCAGCCAGACGTCTACATTCAAGCAGTGGAAATGGTTCATCTATACTTGGGCTTGGCAGTGATCTGACAACAAGCGGATTACCACTTGATCTAGCTACACTAGAGCCATTATGGAATCAAGAAGTTAATTCCCTCTATGGAATTAGTAAACCTGACCTCAATAACTTTGAACAAGTTCCACAAATACCTGCTGCAAATATACGTTTTCTACGTTATATTGGATGTGGAGCATTCGGTAAAGTATGGGAAGGCTGGCTACATGTGCGTGATGCAGATGGAGAACGGTTTGAAAAAGTTGCACTTAAAGTATGTTTTATATTTTAGAATCGTGTAATAGTCTTACTTTCAGTTTTTGACTATAGAAATAAAATAAACGTAATTCAGAAACTACTTTTTTAAGTAATATAGTCAATCCAACTAGCTAATTTGTCTACTGACTTATGACCATTATTGGTTGGAAATGGGACACCGAATCGCTTATATCCACTCCTTAACTTATATTGCCAAAGCAAAATACTGTAAAAAACACAAATGTTAAAGGGAATTTATGAATAAATCACCTATCTCAGCTCTGTGATAGCGAACTATACTAAAATAGCAAAACCAATGTCTTTCGAAGATTTAGAAAACGTGGGCATTCGCTTTCATGTAGTTTTCACATTATAATGAATATGCTTGAGAATTAATGGACTGCCTTAAAATGATATGCAAAATAAAAAATCTCGCTAAATGACTGATTCTCTGAGAAACAAAACAGTATACTTAATGGGATTTTTGAATTTCACGGTGTTTAATCCTAATGCACAGAAATGCTGGGCACAGTCGAAGTATCTGCCTTTTTCATTTATTGAAGTACGCCTAAACATATATATATATATATCCTCGAAGACTTAGAGCACAAAAGTTACCTTTCAATTACCATGTATTTATTGTTATTATTATTATTTATGTACTGTTTGTTGCCATAGCAAGACACTAGTGGTATTATTGTTATGCTTTCATAATCGATAGAACTCTTCCTTTTGCTTGTTACCAAGACAACATGTTTTAACTGTGCAAATGCATTCCAATCACATATTTTTTAATACCCTAGGCTGTTGTTTTTTACAGTTATTCCCTCATCAATTCGTAAATCCATCGGCTGTTTATACTTTTAAAACTGTTGTTTTTACCCATCAGTTTTGTCTACTTGCACATTCAAGCGCAGTTTTCAATATATGTCCTCTTTACATTCTTAAACCAACAAGCACACACAGACACACATTTACACAGTAAAATTTGCCCAATAACAAAGGGGAAATTACTGTAGAATTTTCTCTAGATGGTTGTTTGACTGTCTAAAATGTTTATACAGTGGAATGTGACTTTATTGATTTTCATTTAGCTTTACTGAAGAAAAAAACACAGAAAAGTGTGTGAAAAAAGAATAGCGAAAATAACTAGATTCAAACTAATCATTGCTTTCATTTGGTCTGGAAACACTTATGAGTTTATATTGTGGTAATGTGAAACAACATTTTAGCAACACATTAGGTTCTAGCAGTGTTTATAAGAATTTGTATGGTAGTCATCTGTAGAATGCATTCATGACCAGCATTTCTTTAACCTAGGTATATATTGTTACTATTAGTTCTGAAACATTCTATACAATCCCTGCAGAAGTTTGTTTCACTTTGCGTAAGGATTCCCACAGTTAGGTAGAGAAAATTGTGACCATACATATGTGACGCACTATTGAGTAACTCCTTATGTATAAACATTTAATTTCTGTAAATAAATACAAAATACATTTCACATTTCTGCCATCAGATGCGATTCTCACATAGAAATGAGGAATGCTACCTAAGGCCAGTTTAAATTGACAGACACTGACAATACTCCAGATTTTAAATGTTGGATGATAATTAACAACTCACATGAAAAGTATGCAAATGACCTGACTTTAAAAGGAAACCTGCTTTCAGATTGTATATTTGCATCAAAACTTCATTTGATAAAATAACTATTAAAGTCTGTTGGAACCCCATATTCAGTTTCCACTAATATAAAGTGTAAAATTTTCCAGTCTTATTAGTTTACTCCTTTACCGTTAGTCTGGAAGTGACACACTTTGATCTTGAGGTTCAAACCTACTAAAGTGAAAGAGAACAACCACATCCTTTTCCAAAGCTTGTCTTTATATTTTATATTTCAACACAGTAAGCTGCAAGAACAACACGTTTTCCAAGTACACTGTTGCTAACCAGGATAGTATTTTTATCATCAATTTCAATAATCGTCTTAGACCTGTATTCCACTGTGATCAGCGAGAAATTTCAGAAGTCCTTTCTTACCTTCCGTAAATACCGTAGAACACTACTCTTTCTCTTCTGTGACATTGAGCACCACAAGTTTACAAAACATTTGCACAGAAATCTAAATAAGAGAGTCAAATATCTTCCTATCACAGAAAGTTTTTTAGTCAAAAACAATCTGACAATTGTTTTGCGTCAAATACTTGCTTAACCTTATTTCTGCTTTTTGGTAGGAGAAACATTACACTTTTTTGTCAGTCTTTATTAATCTCCTTTGGTTTCTGTAGTTCTGGACTTTTATTTAAACAATTATACATGCATCACAAGTATACCTAATGGACAAAACGAATCCAGTGTTTTAACCTAAATACTGATACTTATAACTAACCAGCAGATGTTATGATTTCATGAAGATTTAAGGTGTAATAGTTCCCCTTGTGCGTATTCAGATATACCATTTGGCTTTACTTTCAATAGGTAGAGATCATAAACATACGAAATTAAAGGAGTTTAAAGTCTGGTGCATTAGATTGCACAGAAAATTTGGTCAGAGTATTTCTAAGACAAAGATGTCATGGTGAATTATTAGAGTTTACTGCTTATAACATCTAATATAGGAAATAACAATGACTTCCATTTTGTTTTATTCTAATCAGGTACGAAACTGTAAGTCACTGACTGAAGCTGAATTCAAACGTGAAGCAACTCTGATGCACAAATACCAACACACGAATATTGTGCGATTTTTTGGCGTTTCATTCGATTCCCCTGGGCAACAGTGCTTAGTCTTGGAAATGATGGATCAAGGCAACTTAAGAGATTATCTGCACCGGTCACGACCTAGAATCGCTCCTGATATTGCTGCTAATGTGTTTGCTGCCGCAGCTATATGTGCAGCTGCAGGGAAAACAGGAGGGTCAGATGGCTCTTCAATGAATACAAGCATGACTAGTACAGCAGCTGGAGGTGGAACACCAAGTGCTTCAAATGTGATCACTCTGACTGCACAACTTGATTTGCCAGCACTGGTTGCCATAATGAGAGATATATGTCATGGGTGCCGTTATCTGGAAGAACAACACTTTGTCCACAGGTGATAACCTTGTTTTCCAATGTTATTTTATCCTCGAATATTAGAGTTCCTTTTGAAATCACTTATCTTGAGCAATAAAGTATAACTAATACATTTACACAAAAGGTGTGTATATGTGTAATTAAAATATGCTTTTTCAGGTAAGTGATTGCTCTCTCCCCCCCTAGCTGAAGATACTTAATGATAATGCAAGAAAAGGGTGAATAATGGATAAACTCTCTTGGTGAAAGTGGGTAGTTCTCGAATTTAGGCGAGTTTACATTTCAAAGAACACATCAGTTCCTTCAGGGTTGCAGATACGTTTCGTGCCTACAAACGCAAACCTAAGCCTGGGGGTTATTTTTAACTGTCACCATCTAATGTATATATATATGTAACTTCTAGATGTATTTTTCTTCACATGAGTGAAAATTATTACTGATTGTAACAGAATTCTCCACCTAAACGCAATCCACCAGAAAACTAATTTTAATTACATGTCGGTACCATTTTCAGAGACATCGCTGCAAGAAACTGTTTAGTCAGTCACAATCACTCAAGTGGGCGTATAGTGAAGTTGTGTGATTTCGGACTGGCACGTGATATATACAAAAATGACTACTATCGTAAACGCAACGAGCCGAAACTACCTGTGAGGTGGATGTCACCTGAAGCTATTCGTGATGGTTTATTTACAACAAAATCTGATGTCTGGTAAGCTGGTACTTGTTTTCCTTCTTCATAGTACGTTCTCCCTTTCCTGGTATTTGCTATTGTTTTGTGGATATGTTTTGATGGTCATTCGGTTTTAACAAATTCAATTCACACTCTGACAAAACACATACATCTTAGTCCACAAAATATGCATTTTTTGGTTCCACTCACTGAATTCAATCTTTTGTGGCTCTAGAGATAACTGTTAATCAATCTGTGAAACAATATTTTTTGCTGAGTAAACAAATATTTCCCTGAATTTATGGCGGAGATAGAACAGTGACTATATCGTTAGCCTTAAGACATTTGCATCCTTAAAACTCCTGCCTTCCAGCTTAGTAGCAGATGAAGAATAGTTGAGAGTTTTACTAATGTTGATTAAATCTCATCCAACCGCCTGAACTACCTGACTCTGACGAATCAAATGCTGTTCGAATTACACTACCACGAAACTTAATCTTGATATTATAGAAATCCTGTGTTTGCAGTTCACATAGCATGGTGTAATTTTTAATGACTTCGAAGTCATGATACCATTAAATCATAGCAATTTTCTTACCAACATTCATATCAATCAGCTTTACTCCAACATAGTTGTTAAGTTGTTGGTTTTTAGGGATTTGATTGATTGGTTACAGGATTTCATCATGAGCTGACATTAGTTAGAGAACCATTCGAAAACCTGAGATTACTGGACAGCTGTTTCGCCCCAGTTTGGGACTCTTCATCAGTACGCACCCATCGGGATTGGAACCATGGGCATTTTGGTTACAAGGCAAGCTCGTATACCATTAAGCCACAGGTCAGGTGTGAGGACAAATACTTGCCGAAGACACTGGCTTGGGGTCGCGCTATGTCGTGAATTGGCAGAAGTTAGAATTCATGGGCCATTGGATCGGGTCCCACTTGCTTAGTGGTATACGAGCTAGCTCGCCTTGTAACCAGAAAGTCATGGGTTCGAACCCCTGTGGTGGTTGCGTACTGCTGAAGAGTCCGAAACTAGGACGAAACAGCTGTCCAGTACTCTCAGGTTTTCCAATGGTTCTCTAACTAATGTTAGCTCGTGATGAAATCCTGTAAACCAATATAGTTGGCTAGTTAATCCTCCAGTGACTGTTTCATTTAGAATTCAGGAGTTATTGTTATTAAACCAATATTAATAAGTACCTATTTACGCTTAAAGTAGTCATTAACACCAGTATTTATTTTACGAAATGAAAATGAGTCTTTTTCTGTTATTGTGAAGTCAAATCAGTTTATCTGTGTTACAGAAAACAGGTAAGAGTTGAACCCAAGAAGGAGAGTATTCGCTTACTGCAGAACTGAATTGTATAGGCTGCAACTCACATTGGTATTTTAAGCACTGGTACTGAATCAAAGAAAAAAATACACTTAGATTCTTTTCACGTTTACCATCTGAAAAAAGGTTGAAATTCTGCAGTATTTTATTCTCTAGGTAATACAGTAGCATGCTTAACAGATGCCTGAAAACAGGGAATATATACGTATATGTCAGACATTTGGGCTTATGATTGTTTTCAGCTGAAGAAATTAGATGAAATTTTGAATAAATAAAACAAGAAGCAGTGCGTCAGTGGCACAGCGGTAGAGTGCTCACGGACTACGCAGATAGTTCGGGATTCGATCCCCGGCCAACGCACCCCTTTACCTCTCTAAGCCAGTAATAAGACTGGTAAAGAGAGAGTCTAGCAACTCCATCCCTTAAAAATAAGCACCACTGCTACTGAAACTTCAAGCCTCTAGCTTGAAGCCCTATTTTCCACTGGGGACGTAAAGGAATAAAAAAAGCAAGAAGTCTTTTAACTTGTAATACTTTATATGAAGAGTCTTAATCCTCGAGACAAAATGAAGAGTCCCTACGTCTTTATTAAAAAGTATATAAATAGTTTGGATAGGCAAATTTAGTAGAACACTGTTCGAAAAAGAATCATTTTCCAGTGTGCTGATTATTGCCTGTACAGTGAACACTCACTTACCTAGTTTGTCAATTTCACGTCTGTGCACTTATCCAGATGTATTAATAATGACTTCTGATGTGTAACAGACTAGTTTGCTTCAAAACACCTAGTTTTCTGACTGTGAGTGGGATGTAAAACTCACATGAGAATCAAATTTGATTTATCTACTTGATAATAAGAAGTGAATTAAACGAAACATCCCCAGAAATGTATCAGGTCTCTCTCTGATAAAGTTTGATTTTATACAACCAAGGCTAGAAGATGTCGAACAAAATATCTGAACACTGAAATTTACAAAAATCTTGTCTACACGTTACTTATTGTTTGTTAGGACTACATAAATTACTTTGCTTTCAGTGATTTTGCCAGCTGCTGCTTACCTTTTTTAACCCATCACCTTTTCTGGAATAGTTACTATACATTGTTTCCGACAATTCGCCAGACTCTGGTTTGTTATGCTTGTTGCAACATCTATGTTGTGTGGCCATATCATTTTCAGTGCAATTATTCTTACACATAAAACCTTATCGACATTGTTATTTATTGCAAAGTCTGTAGTATTGTCATCGTTGACTGATAAACAGACTATTGTGATTGATTTATTCATCATATAAATGTAAAGCTTCGAACATTAGGAAGAAATCTGAGGAAAGCATAGCTTGAAACAGTATTTTTGGCCTTATAGGTTCTAATTTTTAAAAAGTAAGATCAATTTACATAATCGAATACTGGCACAATGCATTTCTTTTTAGCACTTATAACCTTTAAGCACTACAACATTTTGTGTCACATATTATGGAAAATAAACGGTGTCAATTCTTTATTACATAATTCCTCCATATATAAAAGATTAACATGAAACCAAGTGGCCACGTGTAGAGGAAGGCTTACAGTTGGAAAAAACTCGTCAGTCTGCTAAAATAGTATTAGACTAAGTGATTGTCTGACCTACATGATACCCGTTATTTAGTGATTTCAAGTGCATGAAAATCCTCCACTTCAGCTTCTTTCTTCATCTGTCAGTAAAGTAATATTCAGTAACTTATCTATGTGATATAGTCAGTAGATATTGATATTAATTGAAGACAAGATTTGTAATCCTGACGCCTATCCCCTGGCTAGTTGTAAAGTTATCTTTCATTTTACAACACATACTCAGTCTACTTAGCATTATGATGTTCACTTACTAGAGATGGGACTACGGTTTCTCCAGCTGGAACGTTTGTTAATACAAAGGAAAGAAATGAGAAGTTATAACTTACAGCAAAGGATGACAACAAGTATTGTATCTGTCGTTGACTTATCTGATCAGTTCAGAAACAATTAACGTTGATTATTGAATGCCATTCAAATGAGTAGCATTCATTCTAAACCAAATAATAGGATAGATACTTGAAAATTGGACAGAAATAAAAGAATTCATTTTTGTTACAAATTCTTGTTATGTAGTACTGCAATACAGATTATAAAAATACCAGTTAAAGGTCAAATAGCAGAAAAATCGTCTACAAATTTATTCTTCTTATGTCTTTAAGTGCATCACTGATAACAAGCATTGGTTGTGAGTAGATGTATATGAGGAAGATAAATGTATGCGCAAAAAATATCACGCGTCAGTTAACGTCCTCATCAAATGCCTTTTTAACAAGTGCATAACCACTTTGTTTCAGAGATGTTTTCTATTCTATCATGGGCATAACTTTTTTCCGGCTTTTTCCCTACATATTTGTTTAAAAGTAATTTGAAGGTATGCATTTCTATAAACCCATATGTATGCTTGCAAGTATGTATGTGTGTTTATTTATATGAATGGATGCATCTTCTTAACTCAAAATTGTCAGAAATAAAATGTGTTACATAGTTTAAGCAAAGATTGACAAAATACTTACAACATTAATAAAAGTGATGGAGAACATTTTGCCTACTAGATACTGAACATAAATGACTTTTTTCTCGGTTTACCACTTTCTTGAATACTGCCTACCTTACCTTTTAAAAACTCAAAAACAAGTTCATTTAGATGAAACAAATAGAATAATAGAAGGCATACTTTGGTACGTATGCATATATATATATATATATATATATATATATATATATATATATATATATATATATATATATATATATATAATCCTGATGTCTATAAATGATGTATAAACATGGAGATTCATACACTGAGAGACTGTTCTTGTATGTGCATACATGTAAACGTATATGTCAACGCGTAGAAAAAATTTCTGCTGTACGCCTAATCGCTTTGATTAATCTTTCCCTAAACAGGTGAATGGATAGGTGGATAGATTATAAGGTTATATTTAACTAATAATTTATCATTATTCTCTTCAATTCCATTTGCATACCTCTCTTCACCTTAAATGTCAGCGTTCCCTTTGTTTATTTTTTTTAAGCCCAAAGTTTACATTATGCATACGCTTACATATATCCGTTTATCATTAACAACAACCACACTGCCTACTGACTTCGTAATTATGAATAACAATCTCCTTAATGGGCTGAATTATTACTGCGTAAAACATATGACGTGCATTGTGTGAATTGATGAGTACTGAGAAATCTTCAGTGTGCTTGTGTAGTGCAAAACAATCAGAAAATGCCATTGTCTAAAGGATTTATTCATATGTACCAAAGAAGACTTGATCACTGGTGATTGAGAACTGTCTAATACCAAAAATCGACACATATATCCTGCGTGTAACTTGAGAATGCATTTGACAGAATGCAAGCAGATTTTAAATTAACTGAATTCTGATGTCTCAGAGTTTTATGAATGGAGTTTTCGATACATTTCCCATTGTCTACATGAATTATCGCATTTCTGTGGTTATTTTATTTACTTATTATTTCATTATTCTTGTCACTGTTTCGTAATGTTAAATTTCATTTTTATTCCTATTGATTTGTAGCTTTTAATGTCTATTACTACTACCTACCATGTCACTTTATTGAGATTTGTGTTTCCGGTACATAAGTCAAACCTACTGTCACTCTGAACTTTCCATACAACTACTATTATAGAATCACTGTGACAACTGCAGTCCCAACAGTTATTACTTTTGAAAATTTCATTTTCTGTCCGAATGAGTCAATTATACAGAGTTGTCGTGATGTTGAAATGCACTTGTTCACCATGTGATCTGGCATCTTTGCATTCTAAGGTTGAATTATGTAATTGCGTGTCTGATAATCTAACACATTTAGTGATTAGCATTTTAATCCTATCGATACACTAGTGAATGTCTAGTGCAAGTGTTGCATAGCTTAATTTCCTATAGAATTTGAATTCAGCTGATTTATCGCCCACTTAATCTGCGTCCACAAAATCTATGCGAACCTCTTTACAACATAATTTGCTAAATATGCTAGTCAGTTCCCTTGAATTTAGTTAACTAAATAGAATATTATTACTTCTTAAAGCTCACTTTTTTCTCAGATAAACCTTACTTGTGATTCTTCACACAATGGTGTGAAATATCATCACCAAAAATGTTTGCTTGCTGTAGACGTTTTATTACTAAACTGTTAGGATATACATATTCAGACCTATAGTATAAGAACTCTAAAATTCCCTCCTGCTCAGCAGTTTTCACTCGATGCATCCTGCTTTACTTCGATATAAATTAAAATACCCGACAATATATCAAGGAACTGAATATAATACTGATGTTATCTTTCGAGCATTTTTTTTGATTACTTTAAAGAAGTGGGACAAAAAAACACCAACTTTCCTATTAGCAGTGTTTCGTTATTATTTAATGTATGACACCAGAAGAGGAATTTGCAGCCAGTGTTTTCAATATATTACACCGTATCATTTAGTGCCACATACATCCATGCCTACAGTCCACAATTAGATAAACTTTTTAAGTGTTCGTTTGCGAGTATACGAGCTTTGAAAAATGAATGGAATACTTTAAACTTTTGTCAATTTTTAGAACTGAGACAAATGATTTATCTTCCATGCATGTGTTAAATCTCGTACTTCTATGACGCAACAGAAAGGATATCCACCTCGTGAATTAATACCACCTCATTTCACTTCAAATTTCTGAAACTGCCGAATCCGCTTGATCCTTCTGACATTTTTCAGTCGGTCTGTTTGGATTGTTAGTTGCTACTAGTTATTCTGGAGAATGTTGCATATTCCAGTAGACCGTGTCAACAAAAGTCGCCATAGTTTTGTCTAGAGTTAACCTGATATCTTTATTTTTCCCCAGAATAACATGACTAGAATTTTCAAATCTATACAACTTGTTAATGTTTGATAATGAAAGAATTCTTACAAATCCTTTGTTTCCAATGGATTGCTTCACTAACGCCAAGTTAAATAGCTGTCCGTAAAATGTTGCTTGGTTTGGTCAATAATACTTCAACTTCTCTAACTTATTATCTATTCAGGGCCTATGCCGTTACCTGTTGGGAAGTTTTAACTCTTGGTGCTGATCCATTTTATGGTCGAGCTAATGTCGATGTCATGAATCTGGTTATTGGTGGACATGTTTTAGGACGTCCAGAAAACTGTCCAGAAGAACTGTAAGTCTAATTTTTAAAATTCATATTGCTTAAACGGAGATTATATGAGTTAAACACCGTGGTGATGTTTATACACCGTAATGGTTCCTATTTTAACCAACAGAATTATTGATATCCTTTGTAATTAATATGGATGATTAGATTGAGCATAATTGAGACCCGTATACTGGCACGTTAGTTAGTACAGCCAGTAACCACTTGTTCACCGTTTGCAAGTGGTGGAAAATATGAGGTCAGTGTGACTGAATAAACTAAGAGGTTACGTTCTATTGCTTATAAGGATTGGCTGTGTGCTTGAGGGTCAGAAAAATACACATACTCAGTATGGTACGAGTTTATCCATTTGATGATTCTCAGGTAGGACAGTGTGTTCATGTTGGATTCTGTTATTGTTACAAATAGAGCTGTTTCATCTAAGAATTAATAATCGATTAATCATTAACAACTGTTGGCAACCAACTAGGTTGAGGTTACATCTACCAATAGTGTCGTGGATAAAGTGCATGACAAAATGTGTGAAAGCAATCAGCTGGCTTTAGTTCAGTATACTGACTGCTGAAAGTAGACTTCTGCTAAGTATGGCTTCCATTATTCTTGAATCCATTCCTGAAAACAAATATCAGTGGATTAAGAACTGCATTCTTTTGAATGCTTTTTTGGCAGTTTCTGAATTGCTACAGAGAACACCTTTAAGTTTAGGGAAAAGCCGAATTCTACTTGCTCAAATTCGAATAAGTAGGTTGGTATTATTCAGAATAATGAACTATACAGAAGACCAGTTTCCTATCACACGTATTTTTCTTCTTTTACTTCGTGTTAAATGATCTCAGACACTAAACATTTTGAAGTAGCACTGTTTTATTCATTATTCTATTTGAGAAGTGATGAGTGTCATAGAAAACATCCTATATTAATTTATTAGGTCGGAAATTAGAATTTTCTTGTGTCGAGTTTTCGCCTAAACTTTAATGAACAGTTCCTTGTATCAGCTTCAGCCTTCTCCAGTTAGGCTATATCAGACAGTCTCCACAATAAATTAAACATGGTTCACCTTTAAACTTAATTTTATACTTCATATCTGATAAACGGCAATTATGCGAAGGAGCTAATATTATCGTTCAGTCAGTAGCCTGTCACTTGCCTGATTCAGAGAATGAAGATAATATTAATATTATAATATTAAATAATAATATTAAGCAATAATAATAAATCTGCCTTCGAAATCATTGGCAGGCAGTAGATGGCAATGTGTTACCTGAGACTTTTGTTGTTTAAAATCATAGTCTTTGACATGTAATCCATGCTTAAAGGATTTATGTTGCACATGCCATTTTGTCTTCATAATCAATGTATAAATCACTGCAGGGAATACAATACTTCCTTTGTAACTTCAGATATAGGGGGCTAAAAATATTTTTGCTACAAAGTGACATTATCAGAAAGAATCAGTCGATGCAGTGAAATATTAACCCGCAGTTTTTTCAAACTTGTATAGGTACATGATAATCAGTTTTAGTTTTGTCTAACCTTGATTCGACGAATATTTTCTTTGAAGTTAGGCAAATAAAGAGGGAGCACAGATTGCATATCTCAGTCATCATGCTTAATATAGTAAACTTAAATCCTAAGTGAGGTGTGTCGGTGGCACAGCGGTTAGCATGTTCGCCGACCATGCATATGGTCCGGGGTTTGATCACTGGCCGACTCACTCCTTTACCTCATTTATCCAGTAATAAGACTGGTAAAGAGGAAAGGTTGGGCATGAGGCTAGGAACCCCATCCTGTAAAGATAAACACTGCTATAGAAAGTGTACAATTGTTGGATGGTGGCTAGCAGTGGAATCCAGGATGCGCATTTCGTCCTATTTGGGACTCGTCAGCTGGATGTACCTGCATTTCTCAGTGAGTGATGATGTTCCCACCGAGGCTCGAACCCAGTACCCATAGTTTCAAACGCCAAAGCGTTATCCACTAGACCACTTGGGCCACGAGAGCCACCTCTTGTGCGACGGGTCATATTAATTATTGAATTGAATTTTTGATTTTCCCGTCGATTGATTGGACCGAAGTGCTCGGTCTCAGGTTGACATGTCGGCTTCTTGTGCAGATGCTTCGACGATGTCTGGGTATTTAGTTAGTGTACAATTGTTGGATGGTGGCTAGCAGTGGAATCCAGGATGCGCATTTCGTCCTATTTGGGACTCGTCAGCTGGATGTACCTGCATTTCTCAGTGAGTGATGATGTTCCCACCGAGGCTCGAACCCAGTACCCATAGTTTCAAACGCCAAAGCGTTATCCACTAGACCACTTGGGCCACGAGAGCCACCTCTTGTGCGACGGGTCATATTAATTATTGAATTGAATTTTTGATTTTCCCGTCGATTGATTGGACCGAAGTGCTCGGTCTCAGGTTGACATGTCGGCTTCTTGTGCAGATGCTTCGACGATGTCTGGGTATTTAGTTAGTGTACAATTGTTGGATGGTGGCTAGCAGTGGAATCCAGGATGCGCATTTCGTCCTATTTGGGACTCGTCAGCTGGATGTACCTGCATTTCTCAGTGAGTGATGATGTTCCCACCGAGGCTCGAACCCAGTACCCATAATTTCAAACGCCAAAGCGTTATCCACTAGACCACTTGGGCCACGAGAGCCACCTCTTGTGCGACGGGTCATATTAATTAATCGTCGAAGCATCTGCACAAGAAGCCGACATGTCAACCTGAGACCGAGCACTTCGGTCCAATCAATCGACGGGAAAATCAAAAATTCAATTCAATAATTAATATGACCCGTCGCACAAGAGGTGGCTCTCGTGGCCCAAGTGGTCTAGTGGATAACGCTTTGGCGTTTGAAACTATGGGTACTGGGTTCGAGCCTCGGTGGGAACATCATCACTCACTGAGAAATGCAGGTACATCCAGCTGACGAGTCCCAAATAGGACGAAATGCGCATCCTGGATTCCACTGCTAGCCACCATCCAACAATTGTACACTAACTAAATACCCAGACATCGTCGAAGCATCTGCACAAGAAGCCGACATGTCAACCTGAGACCGAGCACTTCGGTCCAATCAATCGACGGGAAAATCAAAAATTCAATTCAATAACTGCTATAGAAACTTCAAGCCACTAGCTTGAGGCCCTATGTTCCACCGAGAACGTGAAGGAAAAAAAACAAAACAATAAAACGAAGGCTGTGATAAAGTATAATGCATAACAGAATAACTTATATAATAGACCACACAGCGGTGCATCAAGAATTAAGTATTAATTCCACAGTTAAATAAATATCTGAGATTGCTGTTTCTGTTCTAGGAAATTCACCAAATGCTGCTACCAACGTAATTGAAGTGTGATTAGTCATGTTGTTGGCAGTTGTTGCAGAAATAATAATACTATTCGTTCTCGTGTATTTACTTCTGTCGAAGAGTTTCTTCTTATTTGAATATCTATATTCACTGACCACTGAAAAATACTGTCTATTATCTTTCTTTGAACAAAGCCATTACAAGAGATGGGTCAGGATAAAACGGATCCCTTTCATCACAACTACATACAACCACAATCATGAGAGTTGACGGTCACTACAAATTATTTGGAATAATTCCAGCGTGTTTAGGAAAACATCAATTAAAGAGATACAGAAATTTTCAAGTATTGATTTTGTAGGGATTTTTGTTTGATTGGTTGGAGGATTTCATCATGAGCTGGCATCAGGTTTTCCAATGATTCTCTAACAGATACAGAAATGTATAAATATGCATGTGAGTAAGATTTGATTCAGTGAGGTGGAGGACAAAGAAGAATTCTTCATCGTCAGAGAAAAGATTTTATAAATTGTATTAAAATACGATGGCCATCTGATTTTTAGCAGTCATCTGCCACATTCACATGACGAATCAATTGCTCTCGAATGCAGTGCTAAGTATTTTTCGATCCATCTCTATGTATATAAAGATTTCGAAATTTTAAAAGTGTGCTTGCGATCAGTGATATTAACACTTTGTTGAGACATCTGTAGAAAAACAGTGCCATTTCCAATATCTCTGGTTGTTACAAGCTTGTTCATGCAGATGAAACAATCAGTCACTCTGCCCTAATAATATGACTACGAAACATGTTAGATACACTTATAAATATTGGACGTGGTCATTCAGGAGAACTTCTCCCCTTTTTCCATCCAGTCCCAGAGATAACGAACAGAGACCGGTAGGGAAGCCTCTGTAATGACATTCATAGCAAATGCACAAGACACCGAAGCCGGTGTTTCCAGATGAAGGCACTCAGTGAATGGTGGTCTTCAACGCGTCCAGACACATGCTGCTGGACTTTTACTTACAGGACGATGCTATAGAAGGTAAGCAATGACGGAATACACAGAGTCGCCTCACATAGTCATCTCGAAAAGACAGCGTTTTACAGGCGTACAACACACTGCGCCCACCAAAGCACTGTAAACCCGACCTCTAACAGCCAGGCTAACTTTTTGGCGGCACCAAAGGTGGCCCAAATTGGCAAATTCCATTCAAGCTTTCATGATACAGCAAGAAATCGCGTCCATCACACCTCCGCCAGCACTCGCACAACTAACCAGATGCACAAACTTATAGACAACTTCAAGAGGTTTACCTGCAAGGGTGAGTGCAAGTACACGCCCCTGCCAGTCATGTGACAGTACTTTGCATTTGGATGACACAAAGCATATGCCACAATTACAGACAATGATCGCCAGCTGGTTAAGTGTGATGTGAACAGCCTGCACAGTAAGACGATATCGTATGCATAGTCAAGGTTGAAAAGTCTTTCTGCAAGAAGCAGGTCTACACCACCACCATAAATGTCCTTCACAGCTGACTCCAAAATGTTATCGGTGGCAGAGTTAAAGAGAAACAGAGAGACTGGAAACCCCATGTAGGCTGAGATCGGTGGTAATAGCTGGTTGTATGCCATCACTCTACTTGAGTCATTTCTGTATAGGGCTTTCATGATTTTAACAA